CTACTGCTACTCGTATACACTACTCGTACGATTACCTGTCGGTGGTAGTAGTGGTGGCTGTAGTAGTAGTAGTAGTAGTAGTAGTAGTAGTAGTAGTAGTAGTAGTAGTAGTAGTAGTAGTAGAGTAGTAGAGTAGTAGCAGCAGCAGCAGCAGCAAGAGTAGTAGTTAGTAGTAGTAGTAGTAGTAGTAGTAGTAGTAGTTGTTGTTGTTGTTGTTGTAGTCGTCGTAGTAGTCGTAGTAGTCGTAGTAGTCATAGTAGTCGTAGAGGTCGTAGTAGTAGGAGGAGGAGGTGGAGGAGCAGTAGTAGTAGTAGGAGCAGCAGCAGCAGCAGTAGCAGTAGCAGTAGCAGGTAGCAGTAGCAGCAAGTAGCAGTAGCAGTAGTAGTATCAGTAGCAGCAACAGCAGCAGCAGGAGCAGGGTGCGTAGTCGTAGTAGTAGCAGTAGTAGTAGTAGTAGTAGTAGTAGTAGTAGCAGCCCAGGTGGTAGTGCTAATAGTAGTAGTAGTAGTAGTAGTAGTAGTAGTAGTAGTAGTAGGAGTGGTAGTAGTAGTAGTAGTAGTAGTAGTTGTTGTTGTAGTTGTACATTGTGCCGGAAATTTAGATTAGGGCAATTATTTTGCGAAACCGTCTTGGAAATGTTGGTCATCTTGGTCAACAAGATTGCCAAGCAATCTTGGTCATCTTGCCCCTGCCCCACTTGCTCGCCGACTAGTTTACCCTTTGGAGACCAAGATTGCAAGATTGCTTGCAATCGTGCTCCCCCGCTTGCCCCACTTGCTCGCCGACGATCAATGTCAAAAACGTCCAAAAGTTCGTATGTTTATAGACGGTTTTTGCTGCTTCTGCACTTTCGGGGTCTAGGTAGTCAGAACATTGGCTGAGCAACTAATTAAGAATCCCATCTAAACGGCACAGCTAAGCTCCCTATATAGGGCTTGCTCGAGAGCACCACAGGTGCCGCCCGTGGCTCCTGGTGAAGGGCGAGGTGCAAAGATACGGTGCTCTCCTCGCGGATCCGCACTGTGTAAGGAAGGCTTGCAAAGTTCTCTAGGGTTTAGGCTTCGGAATTCAAAGTGTATGGTTGGCGGTTCTTTCGCTTCTGGAGTCCAGGCATAGCCGGCACCATTTTTTTGTCAGGCGTACTTTTAGCCATGTCCTCCCTTCTGGCAGGACTCTTTACCTGGCTTCGGGTTGGCTTCAACAGAATGACAAACAACATCCAAGCAGGTGTAGGGTTAAGCCTGCGTATGGCACCATGGGATCTCTCGTCCGCTGTACACTTGTCCCTGACATTTTGGGCCGAACAAAGCTGCTGGCCCTTTCTCCCCAATTCCCTAACCCCGATATCCTGAACTCTTAAATCCCAAACCCGACAAAGATCTAGGATGTACGGTGCTGGGTTTGGGGTCGGTAAGTTTTGGGAATCGGGCTCTGATCTACCCACCCTCTACCTACTAACTAGTCACAAAACACCTTCAGGCTTCGGGACTGTGGTCTGGACAAGTTGAAGGGCTTGGATCTACTCTTGGGGATTGTGTGTTTTCAGCTGATGCGGCTCGCACCCTGACGCTTGGAGCCTGGACGGCTTCGGGTTAGCATTTTGAGGGTTTGCTTGGAGGCTTTGCAGCTTTTCGGGAAACTTTCATCTTCAGATCTGCAAATTTGGGAGTCCTCCGCTCCGTAGTAGGACTTCCGAGCTGTCGAGATGATGCTCGCCTGCCCAAGGCTTTAGCGTCTGGGGTTTAGGGGGCTGGGTTCACGGCTGGAGAAATTCCCGCTGAGGCGTTGCAAGCCTTCGCTTCGTGTGCTTCTTGTCACCCCCCACCAAGCTTTTTAACCGATTGACGATGCCCAGATGTGCGGGAACACCCGCCTCAGGAGTTTGGGAGCTCTGTGCCCTTAACTCGAAGTCTGAGACAGGAATCACCTACTTACGAGGCAAATTGAGACTGCCTCTGGAGCTCTGGAACCTTGGTATCCGTCAGCCTAAGCACCCATGTGTGCTGCTTAACAAATAAGCAGAAAAGGTATCCAAACCAGCGGCTGAGCAAAGCCGACCTCTCTAGACGGAGCGTATACTACACGAAACGGAAGCGTCGAAGTGTCAGCGAAAGCGTGCAGCAACGACGGCTATTACGGCCTATGCTGTAGCTGAGACATTCGCTGCCATGTGAAATCCTCCACAAAACAGGCACGCCTGGGTCCCCTAAACACTTCACAAAACAGGTGCACACAGAGTTGATGACCACCTGCTGCCACTTCACGTAGTTGAAACCGTGCTACCACCACTGCCATCCCCAAACCCAAACCCTAGAGCCGATGGCCCCACAGTCTGCCTCCTCGTGCAACCCAACCCCTGCGATACAAACCACCTTAGGTGGACCATTGTGGCGCATCACCGCAGCAACAACCGCCTAGAGACGTGTACCGGCACCCTTGCCGAAACCCCATCAGCACCGTCTGGGACACAACAAAGAAGCTGGCACGAGGCCTCACTTTCCGCTCTTGCCGACCTGTGCAGGTTTCAGGGGCTTTCGGGTTTCTGGGCGTCGGCTTCACGGTTTGGGGCTTCGTGGGCTTACAGCAAGTCCACAGAATCGTGCCAGGGTAGCACATCTAGGGTTGCATGCTTGTGTCAGTTTGAACTGGGGTTTAGCATCTCGTTGTACTGCGTCCGTAATTCGGCTGACAGGCTGTGCGTTAAAATCTTATAATCTGTTTTTTGGAAGCTTAAAGGTCGGGCTTTGTAAATTCAATGTAGGTTTCACGTCGCAGCCCTCAATTCCATGTATCCCTCAACCCTATACCCCATAACCCCCAAAACTGTAATTTCAACTTAAATCCCAAACCCCTCAACCCCAAACCCTGAACCGTTCATCCAGGCCTTGGTGCACTCCTGGCGGAGGGCGGACGCCGGTCGACCTAGCAGGAGACTTGAACTAAGGGTATAAGCTACGCGGAGGATTGCAAGAACCTCATGGTTCTTGAGATCCATAAACCAATGGTAACATGGTGGACGGTTTCCAGCTTACGGTCTAGGGCGGAGGTGGTACTTTCAAGACGTATGAGGCCGGCAAACCCAAGTCGCAAAGTCACGCCCTCAAGCCCTGACCCCTCCAACCTCAGGACGTCCTAGTCTAGGACCCCGATTAAGAAACGCCTTTTTAGCGGACTTTTATAGTTTCGGATTCCTTCTCTCAGGCGGCTCCGCTCCGTGCCTTTAGCACTCGAACGCTGGAGTTGAAGGCCTGAATTCCAACATGGTAGCATGGCATGAGATTACATCCAGTACGGTTGAGGCCCTAGGGTTTGGGGTTTGGGATTTTGCGTCGACACCCATCCTTAGCCTTGCAGCCCTGAAGAAACTTCCAACAACCTTACTGTCAGCGGTAAGCGTAAAGCCCGGGCAGCGAGGCTAGGGACCATCACGACACCATCTAGCAGGCACTAACAACAGAAATTTGTGAATACCTACATCCATCATGTCCATTCATGCATAAGTTCGTATCATAAATGCATATGCACGCATCTTTCGCTTAAGAAGAAGCATGTGTATACCCGATATTATGCTGCATTCACACACTGTATACGTCTACATAACAAGTTCCAAATCTCTGACCTCCGCCTTGAGCTTTTGCAGCTCGAGCTCAGCAGCATGCACCTGACACAGCAAGGGCAGGTTCGGTGTGGTGAGGGGCATTTCTTCTGCCGCGTATAGGTTTGCACAAATTCGCCCGGAAAGCCGAGCATTGAGGGCTTAGGATTCTATATAGATTGTCTATAGGGTGCAAAGTTTATGTAGGTGAATGAGGATTGGGCTTAAAAGGATTATCCCCAAGCTCAGAGATGTTCCAAGCAAACCTCGCCTTAATGTGAGCTTCGAGGACACGCGTGCAACACGGCTCTTGAACGTGTGTGCACTGTACACCATCACAGCCCTGAGACTGCCTGGAGCCAGTCGGAACTTGCTACTCGGTTTAGGTCTGGGGCGCCACGAACAAAACTCACAGAGCCTGCGCAAAGGGGCAGCTCACCGATTCCGAACAGTTCGGCGGTTCTCCGTCTACCCTGTATCCTGGAGGCTCTTACACTTTAGGGGATGTAACTTGCAACAGTTTCTGAGTCGACTCGAGAGCCCTGACAAAGCGTGACGTTCAGAGTTAACTTGCCAACATCTGGCTCGTCAACCTCACTCCGAACGTTTCAGGCTTGGGGTCCGTTGCTTGATGCGCCGACTCATGAAAAGAATACCCCTGCGCACCCTACCAAACTTACATTTTTCAAAGCTCCGATAAACAGAGTGCTGGAGAAAAACAGGATACACCAGCAGAACACTTATTCGTCCTGAAGCTTCTAAAGGCTTAAAATGACAGTCACAGTCTAACTCGCTGCGACAACATAGCAGCAGGAAGACGCTTCACCTGCCAACCGATTCGCCAACCCTTAATCTCCGAATCCTGAAATCCTGAATCCGACAGGCCAAGGACCTACACCGATAATTCTAACACTACCAACCCTTGTAAACTCAAAGGGCCTTCTCGAAGTGCCATTGACATTAACATTGGTGACGCAACTCTTTACACGCGGCACCTTTGCAGCCCCTCACTTCCCTAAACCCTATGAACTACGACCATGAACCCTGCATGCAGCCGGGTTAGGCCTGCTGCGAACTTGCAGTCCGCAGGCGCACGAGCTCTTGCTGCAGATCCTGACAAGATGGCTTCTTCTGCGAGTTAGAGCATGGTGTGGTAAAACAATCTAGCAGAACCGGTTTGTGTATGTGGGCTTCAGGGACCATATTTCTTGCATGTCAGCCCTGGTTCTTTAACCCCTACATGCAACCCTAAACGCTGACTCATGACAGCAGGGCCCAGAGGCTTTGAGACAACTGTTCGGATTCGACCACGTGGAACGTGAAGCCGTGAAACAAGAACTTTGCAGACTTCAAGACTCCTCAGCTGACACACTGAATGCCCAAAGCCTCTGAAACCATCCTAAGCCCTTAACCGTGCCCCGGAAGCCAGAAGAAACAATCACCAACACCCAAAGTCGTCAAACTAAGCCCGACTTGAACAAAACAGATCGCACTAAAGCACGATACCCGCAGTTTCATGATTTGGGAGGTTAGGGTGCAGGGCTTGATAAACGACCACAGCTACTGCAAAAAAAATGGCGCCTCCATGCGGCTGCGCTGGTTTACAAGCTCCACCTCGAGGGTGGTGCGGTGCACTTGCTCCTGGCAGGAACGAAGCTGCAGATCCAGCAGAGTTTTTGGAAATGAGGGCTCAGGACTTTGAAGCATGATGATTAGAGAGAGGCACCAAAGGGAGCCGGTGCTTCTATAGAATAGAGGAACGGTGGGACCACAGGCGGCCTGATCAACTACCTCCATGCAGGCACGCTCTCGCTCACTGGCTCATATACGCTCAGTCAGTGACACAGAAAACGGTACACATCCAGAACATACTTGTGCAATAGCTGAGCATGTCTGGTGTGTCCATTTGTGTATGTTGTGTCTGTTGTGTATGTACGTATGCACGTGTATACGTATGTCTGAACGCATGCAGGTATGTAGGTGAGCCATGGTGGACTTTTATTGGCTAGAAACGACGTTAAGGCTTCTCGCATTCGATTTGCCGGGTGCCGGTGTGATTGATATAGTTAAACAGAGGCATACGTACCTTCAGTCCCTATCTGCAGCACTGCTTGCGGCGAGACATCAAGTTAGTGGAGGGAGTTAAGTTGAGCAACGCCTGGCCTTGGGGCCGGCCCCTCAACCCTGAAGACTAAACCTGAAACCCCATATTTCCCCAGCTGAAGCCCGAAAACCTAAATCCCTAAACCTTCAACACTCGGCCTTAAACTCTGAAGCTTCGACAACCCTCAACACGCATTGCTACCCAGCCTGACAGTGCCGTGCCCGGCCCCCGCCCGCCCCGCCCCCGCCCCGGAGGCATCAGTGAGTGCAAGGCTCCGGGTATTGGCTTGCGCTTTACAATCTAACCCGGCCCGTAGGGATCACAGAAGTGGGGTGTAGGGTTTAGGGGTTGGGGCTACGGGTTTGAGGCTCACACACATACAGGCTGAAGTAGGCAGTGAGGGTTACGTTTGAGGGTGTAGTTTAGGCGGAATTTAGATTACAGGTGATGTAGGCATGTGTGTGTCTGTGTGTGTGTGTGTGTGTGTATGTGTGTGTGTGTGTGTGTTTGTGTGTGTGTGTGTGTGTGTGTTTTGCAAGGGAGCCAGAACCGCAGCGTTTGCAGTAGTCTTGTTTTGAAGGGTTTGTAACCTAAGCTTTGTGTAGTAGACTTTGAGTTAGACTGGTGTTCTGGTGTTGACCTGATTCCTAACCCGCACCCCTTTAACACCCCAAGCCCCTTGCAAACGAACCACCTTCACATTGAAACACAAACCCCAAACCGAATCCAGCCTGCTTGAGCGAAACCGCAAGATCAGCTGCTTGGCGCATCTCACGCTGCCGCGCCTGGAGAAGTATCGTTTACTCTTTCCGGATCGTTGTACTTTCGGTTTGGAGGATAGATTTGTTGAAATCCGTATGCCTTTTGCAGTATCTATTCTTCTTCCGCCGAATTCATCCACTGCTTTCGGATTCGGCTTGGCACATCCTCCGCAATCTTTATCCGATAGGAAGTACGCAACCAGAACGAGCAATAGTCGGGAAATCCGACTCCCTGTCCGAAAGATAAAGGTGAGTCGATCCGACAAGCACTACGCCATTTATCTGCTGGTCAATTCATTTGGTCCCTACGATTGGCTAGGTCGCCTGGCCCTGACCAGGTGACAAGTCCAATACTCACATCATTTGGGGTCCTGTAATAGGTCAGAGGGCTGAACCATTGAACCATGTACCGATTCAACTGCGATGAAGCCTTCGTCTTTACGACCCTGAACCAGTCACTTCTTGAAACCGAATGCTTCGCGGTTATTTAGTGGTGTAATGGCCGGTATGACTCACTAGTGCTGCAAGCTTGTATTCGATCCATCTGTCAATTTTGCCGCCTTGAGTGGGGACCCTCAACACGTAACCACTGGGCAAAACACTACTCACTTTGCTCCTACGCGATCTAAGGCATCTAAACCAAACCGAGTGTCTTGATGGTCCAGTTCATCTTTATTTTATGGCTCAATGGCCCCTATGATTATGAAGCCCCAAGCCGTTCATAAGACTCGCCAAATTCTGCCCCCACGATTCATGGTTCGGGACACGAACCATTCTTTGATTTTGCAATTTATGAAAGGTCGAGACCTCTGAACCTGCACGTGGTTGAGTCAAGTGCTTTGTGTGAGTTGGCTTAGAGCTGCAATTGTCGAACTGGTGCCCATGCATTCTGACCCTGTCCCCAACAGCGTGCTGGCACCATGGGGTCCTTGCGTTGACAGAAAGAAGAACTGATTGCGTGGCTGTGCGACGCATCTGGAAAAGAGGCTCGAGTCCCATCATTTACAGCAGATGCTGCACACTTGGTCGCCGCATCCTGTTGTTTGCATTCCATGCTCGCGCGTCTCCCACTATGGTGCTGTGCGTAGTTTTCGCTGACGTCCTGTCAGCTACAGAAGATGGGTCCAGAATTAGCTTAAGTATTTTTTGTGCTTTTGTTCATGTATTTTTGGTTTTCCTTTCTTTCAAGCAAACTTTAGCAAATTTGGAAGCTCCACACTCGGGTGTCACATCACTTGTGTCTTTTGTTTGTGTGTCACTGGCCTTCTTTCATTAGGGTTTCGGCTTCGGCCTGGGTTTACTCCTTCCAGGGGTTCGGTCTGGGTTTACTCCTTTTAAGGTTTCGGGGTCCGTTTACTCCTTTCAGGGATTGGGCCTTCTTATATTAGGGTTTCGGCCTGGGTTTACTCCTGTTTTCTTTCATTAAGGTTTCGGTCTGGGTTTGCACCTGTCAGGGCGTCGGCCTGGGTTTACTCCTGTTTTCTTTCAACAGGGTTTCGGTCTGGCTTTACTCCTTTTAGGGCTTCGGCCTGGGGTTACTCCTGTTCTTTTTCATGTGGGTTTCGGTCTGGGTTTTCTCCGCGTAGACCTTCGGTTTGGGTTTTCGAGTTGCGGTTTTCCTTCGAGCTTACCTCTTGCTTCTTTTAGGGTTTCGAGGTCCGTTTACTCCTTTGTCGCTTGGGGCCTTCTTTCACTGGAGTTTCGGTCTGGATTTACTCCTCTTAGGGCTTCGGCCAGGGTTTAATCCTTTTAGGGTTGGGTTACTCCTTTCAGGGCGGCTTAGTCCTTTTTGGGGTTTCGGCTTTCATTCAAGCTTGCCTTTCATTTTTGTTGTTGGTTTCGTGGTCGGTTTACTCCGTTTAGGTTTTAGGCTTTCGGCTTGGGCCTTCTTTCATTAGGGTTTCCGTCAATGAAAGAAGGCTCCAAGCGTCTGGTGGTATCTTGCGTTCTCTTGGTGTCTCCTGGTCGTCTCTTGGTGTTCTCCTTGTGTCGTGGTGTTCTCCTGGCGTCGGCACAAACACCGATGGCAACTAGTTGCGAGTTGTATTTCACAAGCAGCGCGAACCACCGGCCGGCGGTCGCGACTTTCCTGTCCTCATGGCACGTTTCGAGCATGGTCTTTCATGGTTTGGGGATCTCTGCCGGCACAACGTGGAGCCCAAACTCGCACCAATACGGTTTTCAATGCTCATGACAATCAGCGCTCATCTCACCAAATTCGGCTTTTGTCAACTGTTACGGAGCTCCGCGTCACGCCAAGGCCCCATCATCCCACTCCGCTCTACATATTTGATTCTTGCTTTTGGTACATGTAATCCTTTTTTCATCCTTGCCGTCATGAAGAAGTGCCGTTTACACAGTCTTCATGTCCTCAGTCAGTCTGTGTCCTGTGAAAGCCGTGAAAACCATGTCCTCTATGTCCACCTTTATCTCTTCTGCATGTATAAGTTCAGGAAATGGAAAATCCGGCATGTTTCATGCTACGACTCATCAGTGAGCTTCCGAAACCTGCATGTCAACAAAGATGTGCTAGGTGGTGAGGCCCTCCTAAAAAGATCCGGGTGTGTACTCATACACTGCCACAAAGTTTACTCATGCATCTCGGCCCGTACAATCCTGATACCCACTGTCGGCCGATGAAAACCCTCATCGGAAGATGTACTATGGTTCTCGGGTGCAGAAACGCCATTCACACCGAAGCATAACCCATCCTGTCACAGTTTGTTTCCTGGTCTTGTAGACGCATTACACTGTCTAAGGTTTGCTGTAGAAGCTATCGTTCAAGCACCAGCACACCTTTCTCTTTGTCATAGACATCGCGTAAGCTCAGGCTATCCAAAACCGTCTATTCTTTGCAGCCTCCTGCTTCAAGCTCCATCGAAGCCCTTGTGTACTTCACAAGCCATCGCAAGTGCTAGAAACCTCCCCTGGGTTTCTCAAATAACTAGTACATGCACTCAGAACCATTTCGAAGCTTTGATTGGCAACTTGATGCAGTCCGCCACGTGTGTAGACCACAACCCTGGTCTTCAAGCCCATCGGTTTGCAATCCGATAAACCTTTACGTAACGCGAATCAGGGGCCCAGGGCTCACCACTCAACCATAAAGGAACTGAGCCTTCAGCTACCAAGCTAGTACTCCGCGAAGCCAGTTGGACAGATTCAATGAACGGCTCGAAAGCCCAGATGCCAGCAACTCTGTGACATAGAGCAACTTTCAAAATCCAAACGTCGAAATCCACCCCAATTCGATTTCTGTGCTTCGAACAGCGAACATCGAGGATTCCCCGGAAACGCATTGCAAACGATCCTCAGTGCTTAACGCTCAAAGTTGATTTGTTCGGTTAGTTCATACATACCAGTTTATGCTTGCAGAAAGCTGTCGATGTGGATGTGCGGTTTAGGGTGGTGTGAAAAGAGACAGCCAGACGGAGGGCCAAGATGAAAGGAACGCGAGAGGAAGAAGTGGAGATAATGAGAACGAGCGCAACAAGCCGGGCGCTACGACATAAAGCCCTCTATATAGACAATGTAAATGTAAATCCAAATATTGCTGGGAATAAGTCCTTGATACGCGCATAAATAGGGTCTGTGTATAATATATATATATATATACATATGTATACACACATATTTATAAGTAAGCAAGTATGAGCATGACAACCTAAACGAAACCCGAACACATAAAACAACCGATACGACCCCACTCACACATACAGAAGCATATGCATGTACCTATAAGTCTAAGTAGACATACATGTACATATACATGAACATATACATATTCGCATACACATACCTACATACACAAATACCTTACATTACATTACATTACATTACATTACATTACATTACATCACATTACATTGCGTTGCGGTTACGTTGCGTTACGTGTCATTACATTACATTACATTACATTACATTACATTACATTACATTACATTACATTACATTACATTACATTACATTACATTACATTATGGCACGTTACATTACATTACATCACACTACACTACATTACGTAACATAACGTTACATTATGTTACATTACATTGCATTACATACATACATACATACATACATACATACATACATATAGATATGTATACATGCATTTACATGCATGCCTGCTAGCATGCATGCATGTATGTGTGTCTGTATATATCTATATATCTG